GCAGATCTAGAACTAGCGGTAAACTAAAACGAGGTAAGAAATGCAAAATTTCTAGAAATGAGAAGCACGAACACGACAAACCTGATGAGAAATCGCGTGTGGGGCAATCCTAGGGTGTATGGTTCGCCAGTTACTGAGTCAATGGCATTGGAGACGGCCTGGATACGAAGGGGATACGCACGTGATCCGTTCGAGTCGAATTTCTTCAGGATTAGAGATCGGAAAGTTAAGGTAGCTTAGCAGATCAGACGGTTCGCAGCGGCTTCTTAGGGCTTTTGGGCGCTTTTGGTTTGTGAAAAATCAGGGGAGAGATGATAGGAAGGCACAAGCTCTGCCTAGGACCGCTTGTTTTTCCATATCCTTTTGAGTAGTGAGTACAGTTGCCTGAAATTATTTTGAGCAATTACAAAATAAATTTAGTATCACAGATGTTTGTTCTGTAGGACTATCAAAATTTAGTCTGATCTAATTTAGTCTAAATTAATCTGGTCTAGTTTTGTCTGATTAAATCTAATTTGATCTGATCTAATTTAGTCTGGTTTAAATTGAAATTAGTCCCATTAAAAACATTTTTAGCCATAATTGGTGCTTGTAACTGAAATTTTACAAGTGGCAACCTTTAAGTGAAATATTCAAAAAAAGGAAAGTGAGAATCTTAAATCCAATTAAGAATATTCTTAATCATAACATTCTAAGTTATTTTTATTATTTGTAAATTAAATTGTCAATTTAATAGTGTTAATTATTTCTTAACATACAAATAGGAACTTCTAATTCATGGACAGAGCCACCTATAGGCTATAGGGTTATGGTGTCAATTGACACCACTGCAGTTTTTATATATATATTTTTAATTTAAAATTGAAACCACTGGAAAAAAATCTGCATATAGATATATGCAATCTTTCAAAAAAATAAAATTGACACCACTATTTAAAAAATAGAAATTGCTCAATATAAGACTAAAACGTACACAAAGTTTGAAATAGGATTAAGTATTTGAATTCCCCAAATAAGAGTTGTTTAGTCCTTCAAAAGGATAATTTGATTACAACTTCTCAAAATAGGAGTTATTGAGTCCTATTTTGGGAATAAAACATTGGTAGAACTCTTTATGAATTTTATCCATATTTTAGTCCTATTTAGAGAATTTTTCTCAAAAATAGTGGGGGCCATGCATATATTTACAAAGTAGGATCACTAACTTTAAATAAAATTGAAAAGTCACACCAAAAAGAAAAGGTTTGGGTGGCATAGCTCTTACCCCAATAGTCCAACTCCAAATCATGCAAGAAGGAACAATAGAATCATATAAGAACCGATTGCAAAATCGAATGGAAGATGCTTTGATGAATGATGCATTAGTTTCTTTTATTGAACAAGATGGGCCTGTTTGGTAACAGCTGCATTGGCCGGAATGGCTGAAAAGTTTGAAAAAACTGGATTTGCTAAAGTGAAAGTGTTTGGTAATATATTGGCTGAAATGGCTGATTCAATGTAAAATTACCATAAAGGTATTAACATGTTTGTTTTATAAATGCACGAATGTGGACTGCTAGTAATTTATTTTTGATTTGATTGTTTGATTATCATTCAAATTAACATGATTAACTTGTTTGATTTGATTCGGAGGGGACCCAAATCAAGTGAACCCCATGGAATTTCAAACGGTGTTGGATGGTTTTGATGAAGAAGGGTGGGGTATGAACGTATGATGATGAAGGAGATGTGTATGAGTGTGGAGCTGAAAAAGTTTGGAGAAGAACTTTAAGATGCAATCCGTGCAGAATGAGCTTGAGCCGAAGAGGAAGGTAAAATTGGCTCATGAGCTCATTTTGCAACCCAAGCAGGTGCTCGTTTGGTTCCAGATGAATCGCTGGGCACAGTGGAAGACAGAGGCATCTGGAGAAGAAGATGAATAGGGACTTAGGAGCAGCGAAACAAGAAGATGTTCATCATCCGGAAGGGTAAATTTGTCTTTTCGGTGAAATAACCAAAGTAAAGCAGCCATATCAACCCATTAAACGGGTGTTTGGCAATTTTTTTTTGTATTTTGAGGCTTATAAGCCCAACTTTTGTCCTCCAAACGGGCAAGACATATTTAAAAGTGTTAACCAAAAAATTGCACAACATTTTCAACATTTGAGAATTAGCACTTTAATTTTATGAATGACATTTCTTGCTATTTTGCTTTATAGAGGTACGAGGAATGATCTTGTCAATTCAAACTGACAGGAACCCTCGTCCGACCAAGCCCGTTTGAGGAATGTGTAAGTTGAAATTTTTGATGAAATTTTGTGAGCATTTTATTCATGAAGTGCAAAACATATTCACAAACTATTATCTAAAACTTCGACCCAAAAGTAAGGTAAATGAATTATTGAAAAGCATGGCACTTTATATACATGCATAAAGCGTTGTGTTTTTCAATAATTTATTTGACTGAATTATTGATTGAATGTTTTGATGAAATTTTGTGTCGATGTTCTACACATGATGTACAATTTGCTTAATAACTTCCATAAAAACATTAGACCCGGAAGGCCCTTAAACAAGCTTGGCCGGACGGCAAATCCCGTTAGTCCACAAGATCATTTCTATAGCTCAATTGACACCACGCACTGACATTAAATCCTGGATCATTTATTTCTTCAGTTGAAATGTTCAGAAAAGGAAAGTGAGAATCTTAAATCCAATTAAAAGTTGAATATTGGCTCAAATACTAAAGTATGTGAATTCTATTACGAATTATAACTACTTGTTTGGAATGATATGATGCAATGCAAAAATATAAGCTTTGATGCCTCAAACCTCGTGATATATAAATTCATCACAATTACCTCTTGTGATATTTAAAATGTGTCAAATTCCTTTGAGTTATAATGAATCATGCACACGATCTCTTGGAAGAACAAATTTAATTGTTGAATAAAAGAAAAGTTATTAGTACTTTTATATAATTTAGATTTTAGACCATTTCACAAATATGTTTTTATTTTTAATCATAACATTAAGATGAATGATCTTGAGAGTTTTACATGCATGATTAGTTATAAGTTATAACATATAAGAGTGTAACACATATTTTATGTCACAAAAGTCTAATGCGCATAATATGTATATCACGAAGAGGTTGGATGCATTAAAATCTCTAAATCATGTAAATAACTTGTGTCATTATTCAAGGGTCGAAGAGACTCAAACTACTAAGAGCAATAACCTTGTTTTTGGGCTTTGCCCAACATTGTCCTCTCATGATTTTACTTGAGTTTATTGTCGCATTAATATATATGAATGCTAGAATTATTTGAAGATATATTTTTGGATCTAAGAAGTTTTATTGAAAAATACTTATAGATCATGATCAACACACATTATGGCAATAAAATAAAATAAAATAAAATAATGAATACTTCGTCTTACATCAAATTCTCTGATAAAAAATAGAAATTAGTGGAAAAAATAAAGATTTATAAAGAAGATGAATAATTATTTTAATTTTGTAGGCTAATAAGTGAGATATGATAATATATTTTTAACACTAAGTAAATCTAAAATATTTTGTGAAACTCATATGAGTTCCCGATCAATAAGTTAATCCAAACTTTAAAAATAAAATGGTTGATAAGCTAAAATGAATATGTTATCCTTACATTTTTTTTCTCAACAGTCAATCCAGTTGGGTTAAATAGCAATATAGAATTAAATTTCAATTAGAATATATAGTATACTTCATCACTTTTTTTCTTTCAAAAAAGTAGACTTCATCACTACTTGGGGATTTTATCTATATCCGATTCGATGGAAATCGGTACCGAGTTACTTTGGTCGAAATAGAGAAAATTAAATTGCATCGACTTGTAAGATTGTAATTGGATTCAATTTTGATACTTTTACATACAGTTTGATTTGTGTTGCTTAAAGTTCATTTTCTCGACTCGATCATTTTCAGTTCTTGTTTCAACAACCCAACCTTTTTGCACTCTATTAAAAGCTAGTTTTTCATTTCGTGAAAAATATTAAATCAGATATACACAGCGCCCTCATTATAAACCACAAAACGAGATCGAAGACGATTATTATGGGATCATAATATACTTCCTCCGTTCTTAAATAAATGCAACAGTCAACATTTCACATTTGTCGAGGAACAACTTTGACCATTAATATATATAATTCCCGATTAGTAAAAAAAAGTTTAAAAAATAGATTTTGAAAATTTATAATGAGAAAAAATTAATAATATTTTTTTCAAAAATATATATTATTATATTAATAAATAAAACGTAGTCAAAGTAGAACATGAGAATAGTGCAAAAAGTCCAGCGTTGCATCTAAAAGAGAACGGAGGTAGTATTTAATTGTGCAAAATAGCAAGAGAATAAAGAGACTAGTGACGGAGACACAAAAGGGTTGCAAGGGCCCTCGATCTCCACCGAGAAGAAAATTGTAATGTAAATGTGTGTTTGTGACACAAATATTTCTGTCGGTTCAGGATGGACCAGAGGGTCGTCCGACCACCTAGTTTTGAGTGGTTCCCGATAGTATTGTTTGCTGAAATTTTGTTAGCAAGTTCCACATGAAGTATAAATGATGTCCACCAAATTTCAATTAAAAAGTTAACCGGGAAGGCAGTCAAATAAATGTTTGGAAATAACTGTGTTTTATATGCATATTTTGGCGCAGTCATCTTCAAACAATTATTTGACTATCTTCCCGATTGAATTTTTAGTTGAAATTTGGTGGAGATAATCTACACTTCACGTGGAACATTCTCACAAAATTTCAGCAAAAATTCCGCCGATAGCCACCTCAAAACGAGGTGGCCGGACGGCGGTTCTGTCTGAACTAGTCGGACAGGAATATAATACTACTCTGTGTGTATATACTTTTAATATTTATAAATATTTATAAAATTTTCAAACCCGGCCCGAGCCTCTAATAATAAATTTCTAACTTGGAAGTTGTAGGACACATATTTGCATTTAAAAACCAATCTATTAACATGCATGCAAAATCAAATGACGAATTACTAAATCGACAAATAGAAAAGAACATTAGCATCTGCAACATGGGAAACAATGTGGCTTCATCTTCAGATCCTCCTCCGCAAGGCAGTTGTTCTGCTTCTTCGTCACCTTCATGGCATTTGATCAGATTCCTCGGATCATATTCACCCACGTACGAGAGAACAAAACCGATGTCGCATACCAAAATCCTTTTAGCTACTTCCATTGGATTATTCATAGTAGTTGCCGCCCTGCATTATCGTCTCAAGAGAATCTCCAGGGACCGAAAAATTGTGCCGAAATTGAAAATTCTGTCGGACTCCGCCGAGCCTGAAGGCTTTCCTCAATATGTAGGTATTATATATATAATTCTCCCTAATCCGTTATATGTATAACCACACTTTTTCTCCATTTCAATCCCATCGTATAAAACTTCTAGGTTATTGTCCGTTTGTTATTTTTCCCAAATTTCCATAAATGATTAAGATCTCGTTGTATATTCTGAAGCGTTCAAGGTCTGTTTTCTCTAGTTTAGGAATGTCTCAAAACATGGCATAAATGGAGGATTGAGTTGGAGGCCTCATCAGATTTAAATCTAACTAGATTAAAAGATTCAGATCAATTTATTGACTACTCAAATCAAGATCTTTTAAAAGTATATTTTTAATAATAATGATAAACGTAATAATAATAATACAATCAATGACATTTAGTCATGAGAAATTTAAATCTACCCAGGAAACTTCATTAGCAAATGTCATTGCACAATATCAATACAAATGTCATGAAAAATGTTGCTTTTTTCTAGTAGCGATTGTACATGAGGCTACATATGTTAAACTCATTTTTTACAAGTCAAATCTTATTCTATCAAATAAATATAAAATCAATCCAAATAAATATAGAACAAGTAGTTGTTTCAATGTGTTGCTGACATTAGATTAATTAGATTTATCATAAATGTGTTGCTGACGTGTATATTGTAATGATGTTTACACCGGATATACACATTAGTAATTCAATGTATTCTTTTTACGTTTTGAAGCACTTGAACTGCTCTTGATATCGTGATGTTCTAGCAATCCAAGTACAATAAGATTTTAATATATTATTTATTAATGAAGTTGAAATCTTGTTTATTCACTTAATTTCTCATTTTACTGAGCTTGAACTATTATTTTTAATATTACTTGCGTTTTGAAATTTGAGACATTTATTTGGTAGAAATTAAACTATGTGTTAATTCTTGATTGAAAAAAATTGAATTAGGAATGATAAAAGCTAGACTTGAACTGTTTAGGCTTGGTTGGGTTCCATAATAATTCTTTCTTTTTCATAGAAACTGAGCATATTTTAATAGTTGTTAATGGTTTTACAAAATTTTAATAAGAATCGAACTGGTCTCAGACCTAGATCTAGATGTGGTACATGTATATGTAATCTTAACTATGATAAACAAAAAATATAATTACCATTAAGTACATATATGCTTCCTGAAATTTCAGATCTTTATTTTGTTTCATTTAATTTTTAATTATCTTTGCAAAAAAAACTCTTATTATCAAGTAAAGTGGCCCACTTATGGAATACACACATAGAATCAAATGAGATTGAATCAAAACTAATGAGATATGAAAATGAATTTCAAACATTAGATATGAGAATTATGCATATATGCTAATGTGTGTCTCTGTACGCATATGAAAGTACACTAAAAGTAGGAAAACATTATGATCATAGATATTGCTTAATTTGTTTTGGCACTAAATATTACTATGTATTATTATACTATTACGATTATTATTACTATGCTTGATGTGAAATGAATATATGATGTGACATCCAGCTCGGCAGATGGGATTTAGGGAGAAGAAAGAGTGCCCAACTTTGTGCAAATTAGCATCAGAGTACATAATAAAAGCGGATGGGTGCGAGGAGGACATCTACAGTTTCTTTGCCAACGAGCCGGACGCCGATTCCCTTTTCATCAAGCTTGTGGAAGAGTTTGAGAGGTTGATCCTCAGCTATTTCGCTTTCCATTGGACCCAAGCTTCCTATATGATTAGTCAGGTATATACTAGGTTACTTACATACCATACTTTATCTTACTATATGATCCAACTCATATTGGATCAAGAAATATTGAAGGGTAATGCGGGAGGAGTTTTCCGAAGAATTCACACACAAAAAATGAGATTCACATGGATTTTTGGAAGAGATTCCCAAAATTGGCAGAGATTTTGACAGGGATATGCCAAATCTGTGCCAAAAAAATTTTGGCACGCGCTATTTGGCACGAAAAAATCGGTAAATTCATACCGAATCCGTGTTAATCCCATAATTTTTTTGTAGTATATCACTAATGAATTACAACTCTACTATAACACAATTAGTGCAACTTATTCACCTAGCACCCAAGGGCGTAATATATAGGGCTTGTATTAGCCCGATAGATCCCGAAATTTGAGTTGGCTGTGCCAAAGAGTAATTATTTTAAGCATATCAACAACGGCGTAGTAATGACATTGTTTATGTCAATTAACTAATGCCAACATTTCTTATCCATATTCAATTCATGATTTGCATCTTACTTCACATTTAATTATATGGAAACTAATTATGTATATGTAGCTCAAATGAAATAACTTTTAATGAGGTCTCTTATGTTTGAATTTGGACCAAATGTTACCGTCTAAATGCTCCAATCCCCCAATCGAACACGTTATGGGGCAACTGGTTGTTCACTTTCAAACAAGAGCTAATCCAAATTTAGATTCGATTGAACTGTAGACTAATTATACTACACAACAAAAATTAAGAAAAAATTAGACTGCCCTAAAATTGGCTAGGTACAAATAATATTTTCATAACTTTTTAAATACAAATTTATACAGTTAAATTTAAAGTGCTTTTCAAACTTGACATGGACAATGACTTAACATTCTTTATCTCTCTGTGTTATGGATAAAAAAAGTAAGAAAATTTGCCAAAAGGGCATGTGTAACTTAAATTAATTTTATCTTCTATCTACCCGTATGCAGGCATTGGTTAGTGCTGATAAATCTTCAGAGCCAAAAAAGAAGTTGAAAAAATTTGTGATGGAAGCAACAAGGTACGTAACATGACTGTAATAATTACAGAGAATTACACACAATGTATATAGGCTATTTCCCGTGACTATCCATTTTTGTTTCCCTTACAACTACGAGGTATATTATATAGATTATATATCAAACCAGGTGAAACTAAGAGGCACGATCATCCATACTAGTTAGGATGGTTTTAATTGGACCAGTTTCAACCCTACACCAAATTAGACCATATCAGGTTAGACTAGACTTAAGCAGACAAGACAAAACTTTAATAGAGCAAATATTGACCACACCAGATCAGGCCAGAAAATTATTGTCCAATTAAAAACATCTTTAATTATTATTTTTCTTAGCAAACCTCTTGATTCTTAAAGTGTATCATGTTTCATTATTATTCTTTTTCTTGAGTTCCTCTAAAAAAGAATTTATATTATTGGAAAACATAACAATTATAGTTCTATTTTTTAAATGAGGAGTATCATAGATGTCCTCAATTGAACATGTCCTCAAATGAACAAAAGATTTAATGTCTTCTTAGATTGGAATAAAAACAAAAATAGAAATTAAGTGTATTGGATTATTCGAAATATATGTTATTATACAAATAGATAAATTACTTCCACTGCGGGATAACAACCAACATTGGACGTATCGTCGCAAACATTAGGTCAATGTTGCTGGCAGCCACCGCTTAGCTACTAGGCTGCCACCACTAAATCGGTAAATCCTAAGTAGAGATAGATAAACCATATGTTATTCTAAACGCCGGCTCTAAACACGTTAAACCCTAAAATCTAAGAGTTCTTTAGTCTAAAATCTTTAAACTTTCCTAACTAAGAATTACATTAGTACTAGTTAAGGAGTAAAACACAGACATATTTACTTTTTAAGAATGCTCTCATTTTTATAGCAAAACAATTGATGCAAATTTAATGAAAATTCATTCTCTAAAATGCAAGTTATTTTTATGAAAAAGGGAACAAAGATTTGAGAGAGTCACAAAGAACCTAAAAGTGGCAAGAGTATTTAATACATTGGTGGAGGAGATGAAAGCGATAGGGCTAGTGTCGGCAGATGATTCTAGATGTACGGATGTGATGGTTCCAATGGCACACAAAGACAGAAGCCCAGTACTCCTCTTTATGGGTGGTGGCATGGGAGCCGGTAAAAGCACCGTTCTCAAGGACATCCTCAAAGAGTACGTGTGTACGTATTAATTAACAAACATCTGATGATTAATGCAATTAGTGAGATTTTAGTTTCTTTATCTTACTTTATTACAATTTTAATAAATTAATACAACTCAAGTGTTTGGTTTGGTTTTGAATTTACTATTAGACCATTCTGGGTAGAAGCTAAAGGAAATGCAGTTGTGATAGAGGCAGATGCCTTCAAAGAATCAGATGTCATCTATAAAGCCCTAAGCTCAAGGGGGCACCACCACGACATGCTTCGAACTGCTGAATTGGTAATTATACATTTTACTCATGAGTGTAATTATATGTGTTTTATAAGGATAAATCTACTTAATTATTTGACTATAAATGTTGATGTATATTATCTGATAGCTTGTTGATGATATTATCTTGTAGTTAGTTTGTAGCAAACTCGTTGTATTTATTCTCCATGGTTCTCGATCTAGAAACTTCTCATACCATTCCTAAAATTGATGTCATTAATCAAGACAGTTCAACCCAATCCCTTATATTTATCAATTTTGTTAATGTCAAAATGGATTCTCTTTGGCATACTTTCTCCCCCCATCATTCCTCTCGATCAACAAACAACAAAATGAAAAGATGCATAGAACACTCTCACACTCATCTTTGTCTATCCTCCATGAAAGACAATAATGTTGTTACATAATATATGCACTCACTCATATCTCGGGTTCAAGAAATAAATAAAAAATAACAAATGATAGAAAAAGAAGATAAATCTATAAATATTTGTGTCTTTCAAAACTAAAAATATGAAAACTCTCCAAAATATAATATAAATAAATTACAATAATAATATAAGTTCCTCAAAATAAAAGTAAAACAAGTAAATGGATATGGACAGTATGATATATAATAAAAACATAAGGGAGAATGGATAAAGACACATTCTTTATATCTTTACAACCCATTATACAAATAAACTTTTACACTATGGCACTTGGTAATGACGAAACGAAATCATATTATAAGTCTTTATCTATCAACAACAAAAACTTTGTTAAATTATGGGATTAATTATGTTAGTTGCATCACATAGAAAAGATAAAATATAAAAACTGATGTATCATTAGACTATTAAACTACTCTTCGTACAAATGTTTTGACTCGAATCCAATGATTTTTTTTTTTTAATTTTAAAATGTTATTAAAGTCTACATTCCAAGGAACTAACCTATTATTATCTTATTTGATACATTAAAGAAATGAATACACCATTTTGCTACTATATGTTCTTGTGTGACATGATGATAAAAAGTTGGCTTATATTTTTTATCACTCAATGGATGCATGTCATAAACAAATTTTGGTAGCAAACATATGTATGCAAATCCTTGCACCAACACACATATATTTTCAATCAGGTGCATCAATCATCAACAGATGCAGCTTCTTCATTGCTAGTGACTGCACTAAACGAGGGACGTGACGTGATCATGGACGGGACCCTCTCATGGTTGCCATTTGTGGTGCAAACAATCACAATGGCTAGGAATGTGCACCGTCGTCGATACCGGATGGGACACGGCTATAAGGTTGAGGATGACGGGAGTGTGAGTGAGAATTACTGGGAGATTGCTGAAGATCATCAAGATCTTGTGGAAGGGAATAGAAAAAGAAGGCCTTACCGGATTGAGCTTGTTGGGGTGGTTTGTGATGCCTATTTAGCTGTCATTCGAGGCATAAGGTACTTCTTTACTAGACAAATTTAAGTATATTAAACTTATTTAAGTTTATAAAACTTATTAAACAGAGGCATAATATACTTAAATTTAAGCATATATACAAATCTAAGTATATTAAACACAAGTAAACAACTTAAGAATGCATACAGAAGGCAATAAAGTGTTTTGTATCTTTGTATATCATTTATAGAGAAATTAGCGATATGTATAATGCATAGCCGGTTATTAGTTCCTATAACCAAGGTGAGGCGCCACAATAGCAGGCTTTGCTAACACATATATAAAATATTATCATTTAGCAAATATTATCTATCATCCACCTGCAAGTGAGCGCGGTCTGGAAAGAATACTGAGTTAGACTGTTAGAGGCTTTGTGAGGGAGTCAACGAATTGATCTTTGGTATCAACATGAGTAACAAGCAGAAGTCCCTTAGCAATTTGTTAAGAGACAACGTGAATTTATAGCCACATGTTTCATGTGAGAGTGGAACACGGGATTAAAGGAGGCATAGGTGGCACTAATATTGTCACACACAAAAAGTAGGTGACATTTGAGAGGTAATATGAAGTTCACCTAAAAATTGGCGCTAGCTTGTAAGTTCAGCAGTGATAGAGGCTATTGATTGAATTGGTATTCAATTTTAGTAGATGAGCTAGCAACAGTGAACTAGTTTTTAGAATTCCATCTAATAGGATTGAAACAAAAAAACAGGCTGAAGTAGATGACTAGTATCTATATCGCTTGCCCAGTCACCATTGGCAAATGCATGAAGAGAGAGAGAGAGAGAGAGAGAGAGAGAGAGAGAGAGAGAGAGAGAGAGAGAGAGAGGTAAGTAGAGAGAAAACTACCAATGTGTGCAGTCCCATGAAGATAATAGAGAATGCATTTGAGTGCTTTCCATCATTGGATAGTAGTACGATACAAAAGCTAAGCCAATTTATTAGCAACGAAATTGATACATGGTCGCGTAAAAAATAAGTATTGTAGAGCACCAAGAACACTTTTACAGTTCTTGATATCACAAGAAGAACTATCATGCAACAAAAGAGATTCACTTGTAGAGAGAGGGTGTCAGTGTAGCTAAGTTCAACAAAGTCCATATTAAGCTTCTGAAGAAATTCATGTTTACACTTCTATTGTGTCAGATTCAGGGCTGTCTCTAAGACTTTTGATGCCCTAGACAAAGAATGTCTAATGAGGTAAAATAATACGGAGTATTTAAAATGAATAATGGAATTAAATATGAAGTGATATACGGAGTAACGCCTTTTTTTTACTAAATGTAAAATGTAAAAGGTAATACTTCACCATTATAACACCATCTTTTACATATCTATCCACTGAATCCGAAAAAGATTGTATTACATCATCTGCTCTTTTCAAAGTTTTTCTTTGAAACCCCTAAGTCTTGTTTTCTGTTTCCCCGTCATAGTAAATACTACTAGTACAACATGATAATTTTGCACTAATTAGTTATATTACAAGTTAATAAATACTACGTACAATTTAAAAAGAACAAGTTTTAAAATAAGTTTGATGAACGAATAACTTTAAGAGGCCATTTGGCAACACTGTTTTTCGGCTTATCAGCCAACTTTTTCACCAAATGCGTAACTTTTGCTTTCGCGCGCTGAATTGTGTAATAAGCAGAAAAAGTAAGGTTGGAGTTACTTTTCTGGCTGTATTGGCTGAAGTTACTGTAGATGACCATTTTAGCTATTTTGCATATAAATTTTTCTTTATTTTATTAAAAAATATTTTTTTTTTCTTAAATCAACAGAATTAGCCAATGCAGCCACTTCAGCCAGAACTTCATAAGTTTAAGCTAAATCGGCCAAATCAGCCGATTTTCGTGCTACCAAACAGGCTCTAAGAAAATTAGAAAAAATATATGAAACAAAGTTTCAAGTTTAATACAATACAGAGTAGTACATGGTAAATAATAATTAAGAAATTCGATGTAGTCTTGTAGAATAACTCGTTTACATATTTAAATACGGATTGCAGAAAAATCAAAGATTCAAAGTATCAAATACGGACTATAACGAATTACCCAATGCTGAAATTTGACATCCGAATGTTGGATAGCCTTGGATTGTAGACAACAGATTGTTGGCAGAATCGTCGCTAGACACTAGTAAATACTCTCGTAATCTCGTCTCTTGGTTCCTTGATCCTCTTGCCTCCACAATTCCACTACAATTTTTAATAAATTTCCTTATTCAGATGGCCAATGAGTTTAGGTTTTACGGACTAGGGTCATAAAGTTCTCTATGAGATTATTATTCCTAATTTCCAAAGTTTCTATTAGGCCATCCGGCGGGCGGCCAGGCTGACACATTCAATTATTTTACTCCATATTACTTTTGTAGTTTTGACTTTTGGCCGCCACATGATTCGAATCGGGATTATCATCTACTCCGTATCAATGTATTCATAATACTTCGTATTAATATTAATTATATACTACGTATGTAATACTAGTTTTTTTAAATGGTGCCCACCTTGAATTTGGTGCCCTAGGTTATGGGCTAGGTGCCTGGCCCCCAAAGCCAGTCCTAACTCAGATTTAGACCCCGAGGAGTGAGTGTAGCTTCAAGGCCTAGAAAATAGAAAACAGAGCCAATACTCTTGAAAGAAAACACAACACAAGAGGAGATAGCCTTGGAGTGGTTGCCACAATACAAGAGGAGATAGCCTTGGAGTGGTTGCCGATAAGAATCATATCATGTATGTAGACAAGTAGGTAAACTAGAATGTCATGATAGTGAAAGATGAATAAAGAGGAGACATACTTATAGGAACTTAGTTTACAAAACTAAGCTCTAGGTGCTTGGTGAAGATCTAAAATTGCTTTTTGACGTAAGTAGAGATGTGTAGGCAGTGGTGTATCCAGAAAAGGTATCGTAAAGTTAATTGTAAATAGAAAAAAATTCACTGGACAAAAACATTGTGATATCATATTTAAAGAGTCATAGTACATAAAATTCACTTTGTTACCTATAAATTTTAATCACACGGCATTTGTAATTCGTTCAAAATTATGTCAATAAATAAATGAATCAAATAAGGGAAGGACCAAGTATATATATGTACTTGAAATTAATTTAAGTTGCGAATTCACTAATATACCAAAAAACCAATTTATGTTATGTAAATAAATGTAATTGTTAAACTTTATGAATCATATGTGAAACTTAAATTGTAATGATATTGATGTAGTTTAAATCTTTTTAACAAGACACAATTAAATAGAATTATGTAAATTGTTTAATCCCTCAAAAGGGAAAAAGAAAAAATTAACATTCAGAAAACCCTACAGCTATTTTTGAACTCGTGATATTTCAAAGACTTAATGTTACCCAAACAATCCTTTGTGCTCTGCTAGCAAGATTTTTAATTACATTTCTCACAATTAGTATATAAGATATCTATAATTAAGTCTTTGAAAGGGGGGAGGGGAGGGGGGGGGGGGTGGAGTGCCCCTTGCCTTTCCCTTGGATACGCCCCTATGTGTTGGAGTGACGAGGTTAACATACCCGGTAGTTGTTGCATGAAGACTTGATCAGAAAGAGAGTACCACAAACAAATAATATGACGTTACCATACAAGAGTATAAGACTTTGATAATTGTAAAATACACATAAAACATGCATCTACTAGATCTGACCACTGTTCAAAAAATCGGCCTAGGCGGACCGATTAATCGGCCTAGGCGGCCCAAACCGTAGAGGCCTAGCCGGCCTAGTCGGCCAAAAAATCGGCCTAGTCGGCCAAAAAATCGGCCTAGTCGGCCGCCTAGGCGCTAGGCGCCCCTCAACCGCCCGACTAGCGCCTAGCGAGTTTTAGAACAATGGATCTGACCAGTTTAGACTAGACTTAAACAGACCAGAAAGTTTCAAATCAATTAAACATCTTTATATACCTATAAGTGGTGGCCATTATATCTTAGCCAGAAGGGAGCAAGATCAAGAACTAGGTTAGGAACAGCTGATCAACAATAATTTGCTTTAAAATTAAAATATAGTTTAATAATGTTATGATGAACTTAAGACACTAGTTTCATAGTTCCCAAAAATGTTATTTAGTGTAATAACATGCTTATTGAATGTGGCGGCCAGGAGAGCTATAATGTGCAGGAGAGCAGTGAGGGTGAACTCACAACTTAAATCACACAAGAGATTTGCAAATGCATTCACAACATATTGCAACCTCGTAGACGTTGCTAGACTCTACAGCACTAACGATATTGAAGGCCCTGCTAAGGTATTCATCCGTATTATATTATTAGTTACAATTTCCCTTTTCACTCATCATATAAATAACTCATCATAATTCAATTTAATAATTAGTCACAACCTGGTTCAAGTCATTTTTTTTTTATTTTGAAGTATAAACTTGCATTTCACAAAACTTGAAAAAATTCTTGACAGTTTTCAAAATTAAGACATTTACCGTAAATATGATAATTTACTACTCATAATATAACATATACTACTACATATTATATACTACTTCCGTCCCAAAAAACATTGCCATTTCAAAAAATTTGTACCATAATTTTGATTAGTATAAATTATGGAAGTTATAAATTTTATACTTTTATGAAAGTTCTTTTAACAAAGAACATTTGATATAATTTTTATATTATAAATAATTTCCTATAAAAGTTATAATTGGTCAAAGTTTTGAAAATGGCAATGTTTATTGGGATGGAGGTAGTATGGTTTAATATCATAGAATATTGAATACTAATATCACGTCAAAAGGATCGAGTCGTAATTTAATTGTATTAATGAAGGTATTTTTAATATATAGTTAAAGTAGTACAAGTACTTATGAATAAAAATACACTCTGTAGAGTGGCCACCAAGTCGCTGTTAAAATAGCACTAGAATAATTATAAATATTTTCATGGTACTCCTAAAATACTATTATAGCCATCACATATCAAAAGTCACACATTTATCTATCTATTGTTAATATTGCAGTCACATTTTTGTGACGTATATTTGGGCTAGGTTAGGCTAGATTGGCAACAAGTCAACTTTTACTATTCTATACTTCTATAATAAATAAAGATTTCATAGTTGGTTCAGATGGTGTAATTACACAGTGCCTTTGTTCACTTGTTCAGATCACAATTACAATTGCAGGGAGATTTACTAGGAAAAATACAAAATTTATAAAGCAACTTCTCAAATCTATCTATATAATATAATAAAGGAATCCCTTAGAAGAACCAATGAAGGAAGTTTTGACATGTGGCACTTCCTTTGAAGTAAATAATTGACACATGACATCAAATAAATGACAAAGTAAATGATATTGCATTCCATATTGCAATTGATAAATTGCAATCCCATACGCCCAACTTTTGACCTTCCAACTTTTTTTATTTTCAGTTTCTCTTTATATTTATTTCTCAAAATTTATGTATAAACTTAAAGTCAAAATCTTTTTGTACCACTACTTAAATAGTTGAAAATACTATGAATTACACAAGAATAATAAAAACTAAGAGTCATTTGGTAGGATGGAATCGCCAGAATCTTAAATTGATGAAATTGGATTGAAGTGGTTCAATATGATAAATTATGAAAATATCATATTTAAAATATATTTTATCAATAAAATTAAAAAAATTATATTGGAATAGCTAAATTATCCTTTTGAGTGAGTTTAGTCAATTCAGGCACAAAAATAACTTCAGCCTTACTTCTTTTGGTTATTACACAATTAGCGCACGATATCCAACTCACGTTTTTTGTGAAAAATTAAATAATAATACTGATATGTTCAAAATAAGGTTACCAAACGCGGTCAACATATACAGACTGTTTTTTTGGCATCTTAGAATAAACACACATTGCTCTACTTCATTTCCCAAACTTCAGTACTTACTAATTCATCGGATCTTTTTATTAAACTAATGTCAGTCTTAAATCATATCACATCACATTACATCAAACCAAATCAAAGGTAAACAAATTATATCATATCAAACATAATTACAAAAAATTAAACAGACCACACCATAAAATTTAATTCTAACTAAAAAATCTTACTCAATTTTTATGAAATAATTTTCTATTTTTTCCTAAGTATGATGACTATAGACCTCTATTTCATTCTATTTTGTGTCACTTATTTTCAATTTGTTCCAATATGTTTGTCTCATAATCGATATACGTTCTAAATCATTATTCCTTTGTTATTACTAAATACTACATCCATCCCATTAAAAGATTCTCATTGTAAAATAACACAGTTATTTAGAAAATAATTAAATATGATAATTCCAGTATATTTGAGAAAAAAATTTAATATGTATACAATAATGAGGTTAATAGTGATACCTGTGATGTTATAGAGGTTGTTTTTCATTAGTATTTGAAGATTATGTTGTCATTTAAGAGTGTTAATTGTTTCCTAAAATAGAAATGATAATCTTTATATGTGATATCTAAAAAAGAAAGTGAGAACCTTTACATGAGACGAAGAGAGTATTATTTTATCAATTGAATATCAATGGTAAAAATACCTATATATGAGTAAAACTCATGCCAATTCCTAAAATATGACCATGGATATGATGTTTCTTTCTCAATGTATGACTAAATATGTATGGAATGAAACCAGAAAAGGGAAACACTTGGTGATGGTATACTGTTATGGTACATGTTATTTGGTATTCTTTAAGGAAAAAAAAGATATAAGTCATAGTTTGAGAAACACACAATGTTTTGGTCATATATAAAAGGTAATTTTATCAATATCAATCATATAAATTTACTTTTCTTAAAAACATCATCACATTCTTAATAAGTTCAATATAACTTACAAGTGTTAATAACATCATACAATTTCATACCCCTACTATCGTGTTCTTTTTTATATTTTCTTTTACATTTTTTCATAACAAAAACTTTAACACATACCTTACCGTGCAACGCACGGGTACACACACTAGTGTATATATATACAAATGCTCTGATTCTCCGTTTCATGCATATATGAGTACCAAAAGTACTATTACTATACATGCACATTAAGTTAACCTTTCAAGATGGAAATTTAATTCTTAATATGACATTAGACAAATTTGATTAAGACTTCATAACAAGAACATCAAATTTGAAGATTGATTTGTTCCAACAAATCACTATCTTGCGATGATTGCTAGGCCATATCACAAAAACTATGTATTAGAATACATTCATATAACATACAGGAACATGAATGAACCCTCATATCAAATTAACCTTCATAAAATCTTATTATATATTTCTAGGATCTTATTCTTACTTGTCTCACTAATGAAATAGTGACAATTATTACTTACTTAATTTTTTATTTAATATTTATGATCATTACTATATGAAGCTGATAGGATGGAAGGACAAAGACAAGACATTACTTGTGGATCCAGATGAAATAGAGGTATTAAAAGTGGTGGGGAAGTTGAATGAGGAAGCAGACTCCATATATGAGCTTTACAAACACCCTAATCCAGCCTTTGGAAGAGGATCAATGTGGAAGGACATTGTGTTGTCTCCTTCGAGGTTGAGCATTCAAATGGAGCTCAAATCTTTTATCGAAAAAAATGAAAATTTTTAAGGATGAATTTTTGTCTTTCTAATATTCATCTGCAAATTGATGCTCCAAATATATAAATAAATATTAGGGCCTGAGGTAATATAAAATATTCATTCAATCTATTTTCTATCTGAGTAATGTGAGTTAATTTTTCTCATTGCAAAATTTATCGTCTAGTTACAAAATTAATATACTAAGTTATTGTAGCTCAATTTCAGCAAAAAAAAATTATTGTAGCTCAATCATTCGTGTCTCTTCCATGCTCCTTTAATATGCATTGGCTAAGCATCTGACATTCATGATCCGTATATTGCTTACCGTATATAATTAATAACTTAATTTAATGCTATTAGCTGAAGGATGATTCAACCGGTAATAGGCAAAATTGCAGGATTAATTGGAGAAATCCAATTGCCACCCAATTCATTTCTCTTATATAAAGATTGACATTTTCAGATATTGATATGGGATCCTTAATAATTACATTAATTAAAATCTATTAAACACAATGTTAAGTTATTGATTATAGAGCACTCAGATAAGACACTACTAATTTAAACTCAAATATCAATGTTCTATTCCATTAGACATATTAAACATTCCATCTACGAGTAAAATTCCATTCAATTGAATTTTTATGAAGGACCTTCCCACACATCATGATTTGATTCAGTTATACTACAATTATTATAAAATCTAGTATAACATTATAAATCAAGTGTTTCTACAAGTTGGACTCTTGGATTCCCCCTTTTCTCAAACTCATCAAAGATATATACATCACACCTACCTCCTAATCATTACAAAAATACTAATACACACATTTTACTCTCCCAATAAGTTCACCAATAGTTTTTCCACAGCGTTAGAATAATCCTAACATTCAACAACACATTCACTTTAACATGATTTTTCTGTATGTACACTCAGCAACTCTCAACTCATCCTCAAAAGTTATCATAGATACAATTTTAATTGAATGAACTTATCATTTACTAACTAATTTAATTTAGAAGACATAACCATTGCTAAAATTTATCAACAAGTGTATAGAACATAAACAATTATAAAACAATTATCGACACTTTGCAATATAACTATCAACACTAAGACGATCTAAATTATCTAACTCCCGAAAATGTCACGTACATACATGACAAAGTTAAGCCTACTATAACTTATAAATCAATAATGATTGGTGCAATTAAAACTAGAATTAATATTTTCGAACTAACCACTTTCTCATCTAAACTCCCAAAAAACATACCCACTTTTCTTTGTAATTTTATTGAACCCCGATCAGCAAGAATATTAAGTATATCATGTTTCTTTGCATTTATTAGGGATGCTATTTATTGCATTTTTCAGTCTATCCACCCTTTCAATCACTAAAAAAAGGAGAGTATTATGATCAGATTTATTTCCAGATAAAACAAATTCTATTTAATCGAATTGAGTTGTTTTTAATTCCAGTTTTTCAAACTAATCATTCTCTCATTTAAAACTAGAAATAAATAAACATTTCCTTTTGTATTTTTTTTGTTGTGCACATTTTTTCCATATAATATTCATACCAATTTAGTAACCATTTATTTATTAAATTCCCATTGTTTTTAATTTTTGAAATCATATATCCCCGCATCTCAATTGTGAATATATAAAACTTTTTTATTTGTAATATTATTAAGACCGACATGCTACTTTAAGTTATTAGTCATGCTATTTTATTGATTTTGAATTCATATAATGTTTAAAATCTCACTATGAATTTTACAATAGATTTAAAATTTAGTAGTGCTAAAAGTTATCTCACTATATATCAAGTGTTAGCCTAAAAAAATATAAAAAAATCTGTACAAATCTTCTTTTGTCTCTACAAATCTACTCACAAGACTTAAAATTGAAATCTTAAAAAACTGTCAAATAGGTCCTCGAACTTTCATAAAAAAGTCAATTAAGTCCTTCTATAGGAGACTATGTCCGGTCGTCGCGATTTGGGGCGGTTCCCGGTGGAATTTTTTGATGAAATTTTTTGAGCATCTTATTCATCAAGTGTAGTTTACTCATATCAAATTTTAGCTAAAAATTTAATCGGGAGCGCATTCAAATTAATTCGAGAATGCAAAAATGCGCAGTTATCTTCAAGAATTAATTTGAATGTGTTCCCGATTGAATTTTTAGCTGAAATTTGGTATGAGTAAACTAGACTTGGTGAATAACATGCTCAAAAAAATTCATCAAAAATTCCACCGGGAACTGCCCCAAATCGCGACGGCCGGACAAAACCTCCTATAGAAGGACTTAATTGACCTTTTTATGAAAGTTCGATGACCTATTTGACAGTTTTCCCTAAAATAAATTTTTAATTTCTCTTTGAGGGCCAATAAAGATGTTTATGGGGTGGATCAGGAACAAATATGCATATAACTATATACACCACGCGAGGTAGTTTCCCGTAATCTAATCACTCCATTATTCAACGGTAACTTTTAATCGCATCATACCCATTCCAACATGTTATGATGATAATCATATACAACGTTTGGTTAAATGAGTCATTAGTCTTTTAATAGAAAATATATATGAAAAATATACTCAAATTATTTTAATTTCATAAATTCATGAGAAAATTTAATACTCCATAAGTAAAAAGACTTCGATCTCCAAGCGGACACTAAATTTCCCACGGAATTTTATCAATTCAGGATCCGAAAGATAGATTAATTATCAATTCAGGACCCGAAAGATGAAACGTATCGATATAGGACCCGAATGATGAAAAACTATCAATTTAGGACCTGAATGATTGGAAACTATCAATCTAGGACCTAAGTTGTCATGAATTTTATTATTATTTTTATTTTAAAAATTTTAAATATTAATTAGTTTTATTAAACTAATAAACTTTTGTGAAGAAAAGTTTATCAAAAATTAGTAATGGATTTAATAAAAAATTAAATAAATCAAAACCTTTGAAATATTAGGTCCTAAATTGATAGTTTTTCATCATTCGGGTCCTATACTGATACATTTCATCTTTCGGGTCCTGAATTGATAATTAATCTAACTTTCGGGTCCTGAATTGATAAAATTCCTTTCCCAAACTTATTACTCTCAACATTGTGAATTATATTTTGAAATAAATAGATGTTCATGATATTTTTTCTATACATACAAATTAAGATGTGGTTGCTGACTTCGCACTTGCTACAAAATTGAAGTATTTGAATTTTGTAATGATCAAATATTTTCATTTCGAATGAAGCAGACACAAACCATTTGAAAGCATCAATTAAAGACTCGTTGAAAATACTGAATCCATTCTCTAATTATGAGACTCTTAATAGGACAAAATAAAAAATGATCAAACTAAATTATCATATACTTTGGGTTTATTGTGTGGAATCCTCTTGATATGTATGTTATGTGCATTATCTGCATATAGTTCAAAAGATATATCAAAATGTCATGAATTGTGATGAGTCATACATGTGTTACTCTTTTATAACAAATTTAATTCAATGGTTGGATAAAATATAATTCTTTAGTGCTTTTATCATTTATAACTATCCATGTCTTGTCTGGTCTAAACTGGAATCGACGGCTATTTATTTGATGTAATTGATTTGATAAATGTAAACTATGTATGAAAAATATGTAAATGTAGTTATTTTTACGTGACTTATGAAATCCGATGAATTTTGTTAGATTTGAAATATAAATCACACGAACTAGAAATATAATGTTGAGCTTGAAAAAAGTTAATAAAATACGAGTAAGATTCTTTGTTTGAGATTAATAAAATTTTAGTTGTGAGTTGATAAAGAACAAAACCTAGAGCCCGTTTGGTAGCACGAAAATCGGCTGTTTTGGCTGATTCTGCTGAAATTTATGAAATTCTGGCTGAAGTGGCTGTTTTGGCTGATTCTGCTGATTCAAGAAAAAAATATTTTAAAAATATATTTTATTAATAAATTATAGAAAAAATTACATGTAAAAATAGCTAAAATAGTCCTCTACAGTAACTTCAGCCAATACAGCCAGAAAAGTAACTCCAACCTTACTTTTTCTGCTTATTACACAATTCAGCACACAAAAGTAAAAGTTACGTGTTTGGTGAAAAAGCTGACTGATAAACCTGATAAGCCGAAAAAAGAGGTCTCCAACCGGGCTCCTAGACTCATTCATAAGTTAGGTTAAAAGATGAAGAGCAAAATCATGATTGGATTCCTAGTAATTTGATGGATTCATCATATATTAATACGGAGAAGATGACTAGATTCTCTCCCCCTCTCTACAGACGATGATCTGGAATGGAATTAAATAACGCTGGCAAATGAACAAAAAGAGAAAAACCCCAACAAAGAAAATGCGAAGAAATAAAAATCCTTTCTTTTATTTGGAAAAACAAAAAAACAGTTTTGATATTTAGGCGCATCTAGATTCTAGCCCACTCAGAGATAGAGTTCCTTATACTTTCTTACAAGAGCGAGTGAGGTCCTCATCCATTTCTACTACAATTCTAAGAATATCCGAAAATAATAATTCATTCATCATCGGAAAGTAAAAAAGTACCCATTTCCAGTTCTCTTTAGCGCTCTCAAATTCCCCTTTTCTCTACAACACCCCCAGATCCATGGCGGATTACTTGATTCTTTGCTGACTTGCATACCCGGCCCCAATTTGTTTCATTTATGCTTTCAGGTAAGCCCATTATTTGGCCGCTTCCGTTTGTTTTATGCATACCCATGTGAAATGGAAATGGAGAATAATCCTTTTGGGTATGAAGCTCAAAACGAGGGCTGTGAAAAGGGTTTGATCTTTTATTACTTCTGCATTTTGATTTGATCTTGAGATTTTGGTCTTGGGTTGTTAGGATGAAGCAGTTGGTTTCTTGCTTCTTTGCAATGTCTTACTAGTCCCAACTTTCAAGAGCCCATCCATTCATGATATGTATAAGAAATTTAGTGTCTTGTAGAACTGTTTCTAGTGTATATACAAAGTTATAGATGTCGATTGCAGTGGAGAGCCATGGTTTTAATTTCCGGCAATAGTTTTTCTGATTCTTTGTAGTGGTTGTATATATAATTTTGAGCTCCTGGATTTTGAATTTTCACTCCTAGTGCTTTCATTGATTAAAATAAGCACTTGA